TCCAACAGCACAGAGTTCTCTGTGGTCTGGGTGGAACCTCTCAGACAGGGAGGAAACACAGAACCCAGGACATCCTATTTTGCTCGCCGCCCTGAGCCTGAAGCACCTGAAGGTAGAGTCAGTTCAGGTGACAGGTGTGTTTAGCTCCGCCTCCCGTGCTGCAGGCTGCAGGGCGGATTGATCTCCTGCCAGACTGACGAACATAATGATCTGCAGCCACAGGACTCTGACATGAGATGGTTAAAAACAACAGGAGACGTTCAGATGTAAAGAGGACGAGCACCTCTCTCCCCATAGAAATGTGTTTTTATGCTGCTTCACATGAGAAGGAATGGTTCATATGGTAATGACTGATTAGAAGAAAAGAAAAAGAAATTCTTTTTCATCTGTTTCATTCTTTCCTGAAAAATATATTACGCCTTAAAATGTTAAATTAAAGACACCAAAGTTCGTATTGTGAAGGAATGAGTTATTTTTCCTTTTTCCCCCTTTTACCTGACGTCAATAATTCAGTTTCAAGTATTCAGTATTACAGTTTCATAAAGTTTGGGAGACACAATATACAGATTTGCATTGAAATTTTGAGGCAACTCATCTGAAAACAGAAATTACAATTTCATTTTTAAAACTTGTTGAACAGATTTGAGCATAGAAGCGAACAATTATCTAAAGCTGATGGATAAACAGAAGAAGCAGACAACCAAAAACAATGCATATGTGCTTAAAACAGAGTGGATTGTTGAGCTAGCTCCCCCAAAAGCATGGCTAACAATTAACATTGTGAGCTAACAGTGTGGATAAACAGTTGAAAACTGCTTGTTATCTGTACTACAAGTAGATAATTAAACGTTTTTACCTAGAAGTATGTTTAACTGTTAAAATTGTTAGCTAATAAACAAATGAACTTGTTAGCTGAACATATTGGACAAACAGTATTAACATTTTACAATAAATTACGATGATTAAACAGCTAAATAGCTCATTAAAAACATGCACAACAACAGTTAAATTGTTAGCCATGGATAAAAAATAAATGAAAATGTGCGCTACACATGATGGATAAGCAGCTGAAGCAATTAACTGGTGGCTAGCTGTTGGTAAGCTAACAGTTTAGATTGTTAGCTAAAAGTGGTCACATAGCTAAAACAGCTAGCTAAAAGTATGGATAAATAATTGGAAACTGTTCGATAAAACTGTGGATTAGCAGTTGAAAGGAGTAGCTAAAAGTTAATGAACAGCTAAAATAGCTAGCCAAAAGTGTTGATAAATAACTGGGAATTGTTAGCTAAATAAACAAACAGCTGCAATTGTTCTCAAACAGGATCAAGAATTTAAACAACTTTAAGTAGACAAACAGCTAAATCGTGGGTTAAAACTAAAAGTGTTTAAGGTGTTAAAAAATATGCATTAACAGTTAAAATTGTTAGCCATGGATAGACGAATGAAAATGTCAGCGAAACACAATGAATAAATAGTTGGAATAACTCGCGAGAACTGAGAATTAATCGTTGGAACTTGTTAGCTAACAGTGTGTTTTTAGTGTTAAAAATGTGGATTTGAAGTTGAAACTGGTCGTTAAAAGTTTCTGGACAGTTAAAACTGATAAAAGTACAAATAAATAATTGGAAACTGTTAGCTAGCAGTGTGGCTTCACTGTTGGAATTGTTGGTTGAAAGTGGATAAAGAGATAAATTATCTATCGAACAGTATAGACGAATAAACTGAGCCAATGGTATAAATTAACAGATAAAAGCTGACAGTAATGGATGAATGATGACTTTAACTGGATAAAAACGCATTTAATTGTGTTTAAAAGGACACCGATGTTGAGTCTGTCTGACGGAACTATTTTGCATGTCACATGAAAAAGGTTCAAATAAAACATACAGTGTTCATAAGTCCAGCAGATGGCAGTCTTACTTGTAAGGTGAGTTATTGCACATTTAAGTGATGCTACGGGGTTGTACGCTACACAATATGCTGCATCCTGTAATGAGAAAATTTCATCATAAAAGCTCAAACAGTCAAAAATATGGACTTTTAAACGTGCAGAAAATGTAAATCCTCTTTATTTTAAGGTATTCTTCTCCAGAAAGCAGACGTGAAAGCCTGATCTGGGAACTTAACCCCCACTCACCTCTGGTTGTGTTTTCATGTCCACAGAAACTACCTGCATAGTCAACATGCCGACTACAAGGTCGTCCTGTTCCACGGGTGTCTGCCACATGTCGTTTTCTCACCGACTCAGAGGCAAAACGATCTGTTCTGTCGCTTCCTGCTGACATACGAGCGTCTCCGTCTGTGTTTAAATCCCTCACGGCACACACGCTCTGTTTTGGTTTAAGTTTAGTTGTTTTTTGTTCCCAAATTCCTCATAAAATAAAAGCAACAAATCAGTGGATTTCAAATCTTAATCGTCTCAAAAGAAGTTACAGGATAAGTGTGGCGACAGTCTGTAGTTTTCTCCCTGGAGACAAATAAGATGAAAAGACAGACCGAGTGCATTAAAGCCTCACATGTCTGATTCCTCTGAACCAATGAGCTCCGTTGTTGCTCCAGAAACAATCAAACACACTTCAGTGAGCCATGTTGTTCAAGCTGCTGCTGAAAATAATCCCCAACAAACACAATATTTCTTAACTAAACAGCTGTGAGGTGTTTGATGGAAGCAGTGGTTAAAAACAACTTGTTTGGGTTTTTTTTTAGTGATTTTCTGATTGAATCTCATCACCCATCACTCCGACTCTGAAGCAGGATTCACAAGATGTGACCACATGTGGGAGATTTCTGCAGCCACAGTCAGTAAATCTGATTTAATTTTACCGTTTCAAGCTCACGTTTTGGCTCATTAAACGTTGTGTTTTGTATGAATATCAGCGTCTCTAACCTGATTATGATTTACGTAGATGGGCCAATTCAACAGCCAAGATAATTAGTTCATTATTAGGAGGCACAACGAAGTAAATATCTGCTCACTGCTGGCTTCTGCTTTTACACTGAAAAAAGCCTGAAACACTGCCATGTCCATGCAAAATGAAAGAACAAAAATGAACTGATTCCAGTAGTTTTTATTGCAAAATGCCACAATAATAATACGAACACAGACTCACATGTGTCGTGAAATGACTAAAGTTCCTCAGATGAAAGTTCTGGACAGAGACTCTGTGAGGAGACGCCACATTCCTCCAGGTTCATCCAGACTTCCGGTAGAAAACCGTGTTGGCTCATATGACATAATCACACTCGCTGTCGATAAAAGGCAGCTCTCTGTGTCGGAGCTCCACCTGCCAGCAGAGCTGCAGCGCCTGAGCCACGATGTCCTCCGACATCCTGCCGGCGAAGTCCAGCATCTGAGGATCAAACGAACGAATATCAGAAGAACCGACGAAACATCCGTCCTCAGTTACATCCTTCAGAAACTCCTCTGTTTCATCTTCTCTGTGCTCGGCAACGACCGTCTCCTTCGATTTGTCCGGACGGGCCAAAGACCAGCATCTGGACTCATTACAGCCCATTTCACAGAGACGCCGGAGGAGCAGCTCACTCTTATTCTATGATTTCCATGTCTGCAGAAACACAAACATTTAATCTGTTACAGAAGTTGTTTCCTTCAAAACACAACACAGGAATCATCACCTGCACGCTTCTGTTTATCCAACAACAGTAAAGTCAAGGTCATCAGCATTGTAAAGTCTCTGCTAAGGGAGATGTGTGGGAAAAATGAAATGTAGGAGGTGCAGCTCTGTATTTTGTCAAAGACATAATTTTGTTCCTATTTTACATTAAACTGAGTAACGCTCAAAAACGTCTGCATAAGGCTTCCATCGAGTCAAATCCAGTCAAATCCAGTCAAATCCAGTGCAACACCACAGAGATCTGCATCTGAGTGTCTTTAGTCCTTTACCTTGTGCGTTCTGCTGCAGCTCCTCTCTGGTTAATTCCAGGTTTCCAGCCTCCAGAACTGCTGATAAACCAGCAGCGCAACCAGTTCCTGCTGCTGGTCGGTGGGAGGAGCCGGTCACTGAAAACCACCCAGAACACCTGAATGTCTGAGTTTCTCTGTTCAGTTAAGAGTCATTTGAACATTTGTTTGCTCAGAAACGCTGCGTCCGTTTATCTTTGAGGTTTTTATGGAATTTTGTTTTGCAGTTTTGAACACTTACGTTTTTTTTTTTTTGCTCAACCAAATGTGTAAAACATCACCCAGGGGCACCATTTCAACAGTTTCAGGTACAAGCAACACACGTTTAATAAAATAATTCCACTGTGGAGACACATAGAATCTCTCAAGTCCTAATTCTCCAATGAATTATGAATATAGTGCAGATTAATTAATGGGCTTAAATAGATTATTAAGTAGATTTTTCTGCCTGATGTCCAGATTTATTAAAGGGGTTCATGTAAACCAAATTATCCACAATAACTCCTGGACTTTTCCTTAAACTGAGACATAAAAATAATTGAATACTTCAATAAAACAAACCAAAAACTCCATGTTTGTACAAAGAATTTGAGGTGTTTAGTTCAAAATTTTTAGCACAAATGTTTTTGTAATATTTATTTTATGAAGGACAGCAGGTTCAAACCTTGTTGTCAACATCTGGGTCAGTAAAGTTACACTAAAAAACAAAGTGGGTCACCCCTCAGAAACGGGCAGTAGGTCAAAAGGTGATGGTGCGTTCAGGGTCCTGCCTCAGAGTGGGAATTTTTAAGCTCTACCTGTAAGCACACAGACGGAGAGGCGCCATCCGGTGGCAACAAAACATGCAAAAACTTGAAGTCTCAAAGAGTGCAGCCACACCACTGTGTCTTATCTTTTATCAAGCTTCCTTTTACACATCAGAGCTGCAAAGTCTTCAAAGTCCTGCTACCTCTTTAAATCTCACTTCTAAATATATGTATAAAAAAAATCTGATTTGTAGCCAATCATAAAGTCCTGCTGCCCGGAGACACACTCATATCAGACGGCGTCACTACACTGACTCCGTCTCCTCTCCAGAATGCTCCTCCTGCTCTGCCTGACCGTCTTCTCCTCGGCGGGTTTTGCCATGGAGATGAACCAGACCTCCAAGCTGCTGGCGGAGAACGGAGAGCAGTGCTCGGCCTGCGACTTCCGGGAGCACAGCAAGCAGATGAGGCTCCACAGCATCAAGTCGCAGATCCTCAGCATCCTGCGGCTGGAACAGGCACCCAACATCAGCCGGGACATGATCCGCCAGCTGCTGCCCAAAGCGCCTCCTCTGACGCAGCTCCTGGACCAGTACGACCCGCGGGTGGAGGACGAGGACCACGCAACGACGGAGACCATCATCACTATGGCCACCAAGCGTAACTAAGCAGAAAAAGAAATGTTTACACTCTATTTTGCTGTGTTCTGCTGGGGGGGCTTTTCAGAAAGTCGTGCGTAAAAGCGAAGCCAGTGCGTAAATCCTGTGCGTAAAGACTGTTTATGAGCAGCTGTGCGTTAAACAGGAAGCAGTTAAGGCGCAAACGACCAAACACACCTGCGTATTAATTTATACACCACTGAACAAAGATTGTATCATGTTTGCTTTTCATTTATACAGATTTATATCAGCGAGGCTTCAATCCAGAACATAGACGGCATGATTTTGGAAAGTTTTGGAAAGCTGCGTCTGAAAACTAAGTAATACATCATATAACATGTTCCATGTATATATACGTACATTTTTTAAACATACATGTTTGCAGATACTTCTTTCTAGTATTTCTAATGTTAAAAGCCATTTAAATAGTTTAAGATGGGATGTTTATGTTATTAGAAAAATTCCAAACATTTCGATTTTGAATCCAGAAATTCCCCTGAAGAAGTATCCACACACACACACACACACACACACACACACACACACACACACACACACACACACATGGAAATGCAGGAGCAATCTACTGATTAGAAATAAACATCTCACTGTGCAAAAGAAAGATTACTAAGTTTAATGTCCAAAAAACTCCTGACATTCTGCCTTAATTCACGAAGAACGTTAGGATTCATCATCTGGGGAATATAAAAATGTAACATAAAAATATCTTTTTGAAGTTATCGAATCATCGGAAAAGGATCAGATTTGTCCTGAAAGTTGAAAACGTCAACAGGTCACTGAGACAATTAAGGTTCTCCGTCTGGGTTCACAACTTTCTTCATAGACATGCAGCTCTGGGGAAAAGTGTTGGAAAGACACCACAAACACCCAAAAGAAGCCAAAATGTTTGTGTGTAACAAGACAATTAAACATTTTGTATGAATTACTTCTTCCAGCCAATCCAGTCGCCGAGGACGAGCTGTCCTCCTGTTGTCTGTTCAGCCTCAGCCCAAAGATCCAGCCCAAAAACATCCTGAGCGCTCAGCTGTGGGTTCACCTGCGGCCGGCCGACATGGTGACCACCGTCTTCCTGCAGATCTCCCGTCTCAAACCCGGGAAGGAGGGAAACAACACGCGTGTCCGGGTTCGCTCCCTGAAGATCGACACCGACGCCGGCGCCGGCTCGTGGCAGAACATCGACATCAAGTCTCTGCTGCAGGCCTGGCTACGTCAACCAGAAACCAACTACGGCATAGAAATCAACGCCTACGACTCCAAAGGAGAAGATCTGGCCGTCACCTCGGCGGAGCCTGGAGAGGAAGGACTGGTGAGAGCTACAAATCCAACATAAATCCACATGCTCTCTGGCATTTACTCCATAAATGTTGTTAAAACCTTATTATCTGGTTCAAGCATGAGTAAAGCTAGACACAGGCTGAAGAGGAGAAGCAGCTTTATTGGTTTAATTAGCAGACGGAGCAGTTTTTAAGCGCTAAAGAGCAGCAACAGCAAAGTCTTTGGTGAAAAACTCACTTTATCTTTAATTAAAACTGTTCAAACTCCATCCAACAAACTTGGTTAAATCTTAGGTGGAGTTTTGGTGCAATAGTTTTGTTTCAAATCAACGCATTCGAGCCTCATTACTCGTCATCAGCCAGGTTGGGGCACATGTTGATGAGTGTTTGTTGTGTTGAGTCTGTCTGTTGCTTTGCCAGTAAAGTTTTAATTCCTCTCCAGCAACCGTTCATCGTGGTGAAGATCCTCGACAGCCCCAAAAGATCCCGCCGTGACTCGGGTCTCAACTGCGACGAGGAGTCCGCAGAGACTCGCTGCTGTCGCTACCCGCTCACCGTCGACTTCGAGGAGTTCGGCTGGGACTGGATCATCGCGCCCAAACGCTACCGGGCCAACTACTGCTCGGGGGAGTGCGAGTTCATGCACCTGCAACAGTATCCGCACGCACACCTGGTGAACAAGGCCAACCCACGGGGCACCGCAGGGCCCTGCTGCACGCCCACCAAGATGTCGCCCATCAACATGCTCTACTTCAACCGCAAGGAGCAGATCATCTACGGAAAGATCCCGTCCATGGTGGTGGACCACTGTGGCTGCTCCTGAGCAAACCCAGGCATCCTGCAGGACAATCGTAGAGGCTCCGTTTTCAGCCAAAGTGACGCAAATATTTTAAATATTGCAAAAAAAAAAAAAAAAAAAAAATCGAATTTGAAACAGACAGGGTTTAAGAATGTCAAAATATAATTCACAAGAGAAATGAAAAAAGTTTTTCCAGAGAATGAACTAATTTGCGTTTTTATCCAAACAGCGAAGCTGATTTAAAACAAGAAGTAGGAACTAATCCTAACCCTGGACACAGCATATTTTTGTGAGCGACCAACTAAATGTTATATACAGCAGCAACCGCACAGATTCTCAACTGAAAGTGGCAAAAATGTGAACAAACGATGATAACTTGTGACCGTAGCAGCTTTCTCAGTCATTTTTAAACCCGTAGTAACAACTTGAGCCACTTGGGGGCAGCAGAAACAAGCTGTAAAAGCAACAGTGACATATTAGCTTAGAAAACTGTCAGTAAACTCGCTGGCAAAAGTCATGTTTGCATCCACTCCATCAATGCACGTCCTAAACAAGCTATTGAGGAAGCTGTGTGGTTCTTTAGCTGCTAAACGTTCCACTAACTCATCTAACTGTGTCTGTTTGCTACTGAGGAGGTCGTGTACTGTTGCTTTTTCCAGCTTTTCTCTGAAAGTGGCGACACGTTGCAAGTAAAGCGGTAAAAGGGAACCAATGTGGTAAAGTTGTAAACTTTAAATGATGCTAAAATGTTTGTTGAAGGAGCTGCAGCATTGCTACGAGCAACCTGTTAAAGACGTTCGGTCCATTGGTACAACAGAAATTTTCATCGTGACCCGTCTTAAGTTATTGTTTTCAGTCTCAGCTTTAAGGCTCGTGACGTAGTCGCTTTAAAAACACTTTCATATCCTCCAACAGATGCAGTTCAGCAAACGAACTGTGAGGCAGCGTTTCAGGATGGAAACATAGACTGTATAAAAGATGGACGTAGCAACCGGCCCTGAAAAATGAA